TGTGCCCTCCTTCCCTGCTGGTGGTCCAGGAGAGGGGGGAAGGCAGCAAATCCTGGGCCCTGCCCCTGCAGAGCTTTCGGTGGCGAATTCTTTTTTTAATTTAAAATGCGAAGGCACCGGATGGAGCCTGACGCGCAGGCACGCACACACACATACACACACACACATACACTCAGAGGCAGATTTTTGTGTTGCTGAGTATTTGGGGGGGTGCTTGCCCGTGACAGCGGGCTCCAGGGCCCCGAGGGGGTGTGGGGGGCCGCTGGGCGGACGGTGATAGGATTAGGGGTCAAACGCCCGAAGTCCTCGCGGGGCCGGGGCTGGGGAGGCGGCAGGGGACGGCGACTTGGCATTTGGGCTGCTTTGCACGCAGGGTTCCTGGTGAGCAGAGTGGCTTTGGAACATGTCGCAGTAACATGCTTAAAATTCTTGACAACTGCTCAATAAACGGCTAGTTTCATTTTCCTCACCCCTCCCCTTCCTGCCCCTGCGTGTTTATTTTGACTTGGGGGGGGGAGAGTATCAGGGGCCGCGTCAGGCCTGCAGAAATCCACGCTCCAGCCCACGTCCACAGCTAAGCAGCTTTGGGTGCATGAAGACAGAGCAGGGCCTTATGTCATTCCCACCTGGAGGCCGCGGCGCTGGCTCGGTTTTTTTTTTTTTTTTTTTACGCCATGTCCCCTCCCTTTTCCCTTGCAAGATATAACACGTGGGAGCCCGAGGAGAACATCCTGGACCCCCGGCTGCTGATTGCCTTCCAGAACAGGTGAGCGGCCCCCAGCAGCCACCCGCAGCGGGCCGGCCAGGTGTGGGAACCGGAGAGCGGGCCACGCAGCATGGAGTGGGGGCGGGAGGGCCGGGAGGGGCCCGCGGGAGCCCCCTCCCCCAGGCGGGTCCTAAGGCACGGCTGCGGCCTCGGCTGCTCAAACCACCGTCCTTGGCGGTTGCTGCAGCCTGGAGGTGGGGGCAGGGCAGGGCCAGAGAAGGCGAGGCTTGTGTTTTGGGGGAACTGCGGGAAGGGCGAGTGCGGGTGGCCCTACGGCTGCCCCGAGAACTCGGAGCCGCGCCTGGTCCCCCGAGGGCCCCCCTCCTGGCCCCACCTCAGAGCCCCGCCCCCGGGACCTAGGTGTTGCTCTGCTGCAGCCACGGGGCTGCCGTCGTGGGGCAGGCAGCTCGGAGGGCGCTGGCACTGCGAAGCCGCCGGACGTCACGGAGCAGAACTTAACCTGTTGGGGGCCGGAGGAAAGTTGACAAGACCTTCAGCCCCCACCCTCAGCCCCGGGGGCAGGGGCTGGGGGCAGGGGCAGGTTCTGGCTGGAAGTGGGTGCTCATGCCCCAAGCTGGGCTCCTTGGTGGGTGAGCCTGGCCCAGAGGGTGTGGGGTGCGGTGCTGCCTGGCGGCGGAGGGGTGGTGGAGGACGCGGGCTCATCCCCGCGCGCACACAGATGCCTGTCACGCCGCAGCTGCTGCAGCTGGAATCCCCGCCGGTGGCTGCGGTTCTCCGTTTCGGGGAGGACCGAAGGGGGAAGGGCTGGCGAGGAGGGAGGAGCGGCAGGGGCCCGGGAGCGCCGCCACTCCGCTGCCTTCCATCCCCCTTCCCTCTTTTTTATTTTGCATTATTTCCTGTGGTGGGTTTGGCGCTAAAACGTAAACTCTAGACCCTCGGAGAGAGCCACCGGCGGGGAACTTGCCCTCCCGCGACGCAGGGGGCGCGGAGCAGGGATCACCCGGCTCCACCTGGGAGCTCGGCGCCCTGTAACCATGTCAGCGGCTGATGCCATGTTGCGTAATGGGTCCCCGGAGAATTAAAGGACGGGCTGTTGCAATGTCATGCAACTTCGGAGTCAGGCCGGCGGGGGCTCCCGGGCTCGGCGGATCTCCCCGGGGTGCGCCCACCCGCGGAGGCTGCCTAGGGTCGCGGGAGAACAGGTTTCTGGCCCGGAAATAAGCTCCTACTTGGGCCGAGGCTGGAGAGGCGCCGCCTTCCCCCACCGAGGACGGGGCAGAGCTGGAAAAGCCCGGCCCGCGGCCTCGGGTCACCCCAGGCCACGCCGCAGGCGGAAGCCAGGCAACTCTTTTGACCCGTGCGCGCGTGGACTTGATCCATTTGGAAATCGAGGGGGCCGGGCTCGGCGAGGGGCGGGGCTTGTGTCCTCGCCCCGCCCCCGCCGCCCGGAGCGGGTTCACCAGGTGGCTGGGAACCTGGCGCCCCGGCCTCCGCCCGGCCTCCGCCCCGGCCCCTAATTGGCTCACTTGCCGCCTGTAGACGAGGTCGCGGCCCCTCCAGCGGGTTAGCGCCCGGCCTGCAGGTCACCGGCCCTCCCTCTCGCCGCTGGCCGCGCTCGTCACCTGAACCCTAATGAGGTCGTCAGCGCCCCGCGCCTCTGCAGAGGGACGTGGTCCTCAAACTCCTCCTTTGGGGCCTCGTTTGCATCCCTGGACCCCGTGCCCACTCCGCTCTGCGCAGGGCGCCGGCCTAAGGCCGAGGGCGGCACTGGCATCTCCCGCGCCGGAGGCAGGGCTGTGGGGGCGGCAGTTCAGGTGGGGACCTCAGAGGGGGGAGCATCTCAGGCGGAGGCCCCCCTGGGCAGGTGAGGGTCCCTGCGAGTGGAAAGCGGGGCTCTGGGACCAGGCTGGCGCCCAGCTGGCTGCAGGGGCGACCTTTTGCCTGGAGCTCTGATCCCTCTGGGCCTTGGCGGCCCTGCTGCTCTGGGGAGGGCAGACGCCCCGCAGGTTGGAGGGAGGTGACCGAGGCTCACAGCGCCGCCCTCTCTCCCGCCCTCGCCCTCAGGGAGCGGCAGGAGCAGCTGATGGGATATCGCAAGAGAGGCCCGAAGCCCAAGCCGCTGGTGGTGCAGGTGAGAAGACCCTTGTCTTTCCCTTTAAGTTGTCACCTGAGCTGCTTCCTGGCCTGGGGGGGGGGGGTCTCTTCCTGAGCACCCCATTCTCTCCCTGCCTGCCTGACCTTTCATGCCCTCTGGGTGGGGGCTGGGATGCTCCTGATGCCGGAAGCTGGTCTTATCCCTCCGCTCACCTCGCCCTCCGCCCGCCCCGTCCCCCAGGTGCCTACCTTTGCCAGGCGCTCCAATGTGCTGAGCGGACTCCAGGACTCCTCCACGGACAACCGCAGCGCCAAGCTGGACCTGGGCGCCCAGGGCAAGGGCCAGGGGCACCAGTACGAGCTCAACAGCAAGAAGCATCACCAGTACCAGCCGCACAGCAAGGAGCGGGCGGGCAAGCCCCCGCCGCCCAGCAAGAGCAGCAAGTACTACTACCAGCTCAACAGCAAGAAGCACCACCCCTACCAGCCGGACCCCAAGATGTACGACCTGCAGTACCAGGGCGGCCACAAGGAGGCGCCCAGCCCCACCTGCCCGGACCTGGGTGCCAAGAGCCACGCGCCAGACAAGTGGGCCCACGGGGCGGGGGCCAAGGGCTACCTGGGAGCCGTGAAGCCTCTGGCCGGCGCTGCCGGGGCTCCGGGCAAGGGCTCTGAGAAGGCGCCCCCCAACGGCATGACGCCCGCCCCCAAGGAGGCGGTGACCGGCAACGGGATCGGGGGCAAGATGAAGATCGTCAAGAACAAGAACAAGAACGGGCGCATCGTGATCGTGATGAGCAAGTACATGGAGAACGGCATGCAGGCGGTGAAGATCAAGTCGGGGGAGGCGGCGGAGGGCGAGGCGCGCGCCCCCAGCCACAAGAAGCGCGCCTCCGAGGAGCGCCACCCCCCATCGGACAGGACTTTCAAAAAGGCGGCAGGGGCGGCGGCGGAGGAGAAGAAGGCGCAGGCTCCCTTTAAGAGGCGGGAGGAGGAGGCCCTGGGCCCCGGCGAGCCGCAGCCGCAGAACTCCGGGGTCCCGCAAGCTCTCCCCAACCAAGGAGGCCTTCGGCGAGCAGCCGCTGCAGCTCACCACCAAGCCCGACCTGCTGCCTGGGACTCGGCCCGGAGCGCGCACGCGCCCTCCCACCACCACCACCACCACCATCACCACCACCACCACCACGCGGTGGGCCTCAACCTCTCCCACGCGCGCAAGCGCTGCCTCTCGGAGACCCACGGGGAGCGCGAGCCCTGCAAGAAGCGGCTGACGGCGCGCAGTATCAGCACCCCCACCTGCCTGGCGGGAAGCCCGGCCGCCGAGCGCCCCGCCGACGTGCCCCCAGCCGCGCTCCCGCAGCCCGAGGTCATCCTGCTGGACTCGGACCTGGACGAGCCCATAGACTTGCGCTGCGTCAAGACGCGCGGCGAGGCCGGGGCGCTGCCTGGAGGCCTCCGAGTGAAGCCCGAGGCGCCCGCGGCTGCGGCGGTGACGGCTGCGCCGGGGGCGGTGGCGGCGGAGAAGCCCCCTGCCGAGGCCCAGGACGAGCCCGAGGAGCCGCTGAGCGAGTTCAAGCCCTTCTTTGGGAATATAATTATCACCGACGTCACCGCGAACTGCCTCACCGTCACTTTCAAGGAGTATGTGACGGTGTAGCGGGAGGTGCAGTCCCGCCCGCGGCTGCACCGGCTCAGCGCCCGGGGGCGGCGACTCCTCTCTCAACTTCCTGGGGAGCCAGGCCGGCCCCCAGCTCCAGGGACGCCCGAAGCCGCAGTCACGCGCCCCCTGTACCCAGCTGCGGGGTCCTGGCTGGGACTGGGGCGGCCGGCCGCCTCCGTGGGAACTGGCGCCGAGCGCGCGGAGCCTGCGGGTCTGGGCCCCTCCCCGCGGCCCGGGACCGCCGGCAGCCAGCCGCCCGGGAGGCATAGTATTATATTTTAACCCGCTAACGTGTCAGTGCAGACTCCACTCCCGTTTGTACGTGGTGTTATTATGGAAATGTATTGTTTGAGCTCCGAAGGCCCGGCCACCCCGTCGGGCTGATATATCTATATTTATTTGTAGGTATTTATATATTGAAATATAAAAGCCTAGATTTATGGAGTTCCTCTAGATCATGGTATATTCTCTCACACAGACCCGCTTCTGTTGGCCCTCTGCCCGCGCGGTCAGTATTTCGGTTGCGTTCATGTCCGCCCCTCCCAGGAACTGCAGTATCGGTGACCTTGGTATATATTTTTTGATACCGTACACATGGGTGTGTTGTTTCTATGTGCAAAAGGAAAAAAAGAAAAAGTTTGTTAAATGGCTACGCGAGCGCTCTAGACTAAACTGCTGCTGCTAGAACTGTCTGAACTCTAAGCTTCCGATCTTACCTGCTTGAATGTACATATTAAATGGAGATGTTGAAGGTGCCTTTTCGCTGTCGGAGAATTAGCGCAGCCAGCGCGGGGGACGTGGGGAGCCCGGGAGGCCCTGGACCCCCTCCCCACCCACCCCCTCCTCCGGTGTCAGGGAGGAAACCCAGCTCGTCTTGCGCGAAACCCTAGCGAAGCCAAGTGGCCTGGTTTCCAGGGCAGAGGCGCCAGCAGCCGGAGGAGTGACCGAGCGCCCGGAAGGGGAGTCCGCGGAAGGCGCTGCAGAGGAGAGGGGAGTTCCTGCGGGTGCTCCTGCCCGGGCCCCGGGAGCTGAGTGGTGGGGTGAGCAGCCCGCAGAGACCCAGAGTCCTACCAGCCAGGCACCTGCTGATCTTTGCCCCCCCACCCTCCGGGGCGCAGCACACCCCGGCGCTGGCGGCGGTGGGGCCCGTGCTCCTCCCTAGTCATCCTCGCCTGGTCGGGCAGGTTCCGCCCTCTCCTGCGTCCCTCGCTGGCATCGCGGCCCCGCCCCACCCAGAAAGCCGGCGAGGCTCTTTCTCTGCCAGGCTCGCTCCGGAAGCGCCAGGCCAGCCAGAGGCTCTGATGAGGCACAGGCGCTCCCCCTGGGCCGGAGGGGGGCTTCCTGGGAGGTGGATGGGGATGGGGAGGAGAAGCCGGGAGGGAGCCAGGCCCGCTCACCCCACTTCCTTAGCCAGGACGTGTGGGACCCCAGCTCACCCGTCTGGCTTTGGATGGCAGGGCTGGGCACTTGCTGACCGCGGGCTGTAAGGGGTTAAGGGCCCAGAGGGGACGAGGGGAGTGGGCTGGACTCTGAGGTGCAGCTCCCCGGCCTGAAGCCGCACCCGGAATGCAGGGCGGAGGCAGCTTTTTGGGGACTCAGCAGTCTCTGGGGGGGGGGGGGGGGGCACGGCCCCGGGCTGCCCTCCTGGGACCCACCCAGCGGGGCCCAAGCCCGTGCAGTGCGGGGCGCCAGGGCGGAAGAGGTCACCGTGACTCCGAATGGGGGGGCGGGGGAGAGTGGCCCGGGGAGAGCTGGAGGCCGGGAGGCCTGAATGCGGACAGTGTGGCCAGTGTTGGCTGCAGGCCACCAGCGACCGGGTGGGGGAGGGGAGCCGAGGGGGAGGGGAGGGAGGGAAGGAAAGTTCTAAGAAAAAAAACCGTTGAGAGTTTCTGGCCCGGCTTTTGTGAATTGTCCCTCCCCCCCCCTCACCCCGGCCCCTGGCAAGTTAAACACGCCCCTCCCCCTCCGTGTATGAATGCCCTTTGCCACCCTGGGAGCCGAGGGAGGGCCATCCTGACGCTCTGGCAGGCTGCCCACGCACCAGCACCGGGCCTGCTCTCTGCGCTGGCACACAAAGGCGCATGCCCGGCGGGGACTCGGTCTCCCTGTTTTTCTGGGGGAGAAGGAAGACGTGGGGGGTGGGAAAGGGAGCCCCTGGCTCAGGTTGCACAGCGGGTGGCTTGGGAATGAGCCCTGTCCCCTGGGGTGCCCCTCAGGCCAGTGGGCGGCCTCTGCCAGGCTGAGCTGGGGAAGGGGAGGCGGGGCTGGCACTGCCACAGGCAGGAAGGGAATGGGGTTCACTACCACTGGGAAGCCTGGGCCTGCGGCTGCCCGAGGCCTGGAAGCCTGGCTGGTGGGGGACCTGCTTGGGGGTCTTCAGCGAGGGCAGGGCCAGGAGGAGCCCGGAGCCTTGGCCAGGGGCAGCGGTCAGTGGCAGGCCACCAGGAGCTCAGGAGGCCCAACCTGGTGCCGGCCCCAAGGGGGTCCAAGGGTGCCATTTGCTGAGCTCCACGGACATGCTGGTGCCATTGAGCACCTGGTCCCATCAGACCCCTAGGCTCCCTGGCGGCAGAGTCTGGGGTTCTGGTGGCAGGCAGCTCATCCCGGGTGTGGCCGCTGCCCAGCTCTGTGCGGGTGCCAGAACCAAACTGGGGAGAAGGTGCAGCCTAGCAGGAGACGGGGTACAGCCTGCAGGAGAGGAGTGCAGCCTGCAGGAGAGGGGTGCAGCCTGCAGGAGAGGGGTGCAGCCTAGCAGGAGACGGGGTACAGCCTGCAGGAGAGGGGGTGCAGCCATCTGGAGAGGGGTGCAGCCTGGCAGGAGAGGGGGGTGCAGCCTGCAGGAGAGGGGGTGCAGCCATCTGGAGAGGGGTGCAGCCAGCAGGAGAGGGGGTGCAGCCATCTGGAGAGGGGTGCAGCCTGGCAGGAGAGGGGGTGCAGCCTGCAGGAGAGGGGTGCAGCCAGCAGGAGGGGGTGCAGCCCAGGAGGGGAGAAGGTTCGAGGACTACACCAACGGGCCTGCAGTGCAGTTATCCTCATGTCGCTGGGGGTGTGGCCTGGCACTGACCTGTGCACTGAACGGTGACCACGATTTCAGGTGGGCCGTACCTCTGACGAGACCTGCACACAGGAGTCAGGGAAGACCAGATCGGTCCCTCCGTCCATGAGCCCATCGTGGGCTCCCGAATCCAGGCACCTCCCCACCCCTGCCCACCGAACAGCAACTTCTAGAACGTACCAGGAGGGCAGAGCAGACGTGGCGGCAGTGCCCACTCCCCTCCCCACAGCCCTGCCCCTGCCCAGGGATCCGCCTCCTCTTCCGCGAGGACCCGGCCAGGAGGGAGCCTGGGTGCCTCGGGAGCCCTGACTACACCCACGGGCTGTTCGCTTGTTTATTTCTTGTTACCAAAGAACATGAAACTTCCCCGTCAGATCCCAAGGCCTTCGAATGACTCCTGGCTCAGCCTCAGGGTGACATGAGGTGGGGACTCTACACTGACTGCCGGCGCCTGCCCGCCCCTCTGGAGCACCCAGCGGGCACCCCGCCATGGGCACCCCACCATGCGCACCCCCACCATGAGCACCCCCCATGCGCACCCCTGCCATGAGCACCCCCGCTATGCGCACCCCCGCCGTGGGTACCCGCTGTGAGGACCCCCGAAAATTATTTCCCTCGTAGAGTGATCAGGTATGCAACCAGCTGATTATAGGGATGGGTTGAGTAGGGGGGGGGAAGGTCTCAAAGGAAGGACAACGGATGTTTCTAGAGCTAAAAATTGAGCCCACATGATCCTAGGATTATTCAGGTATGAGAGAGAGTACATCCACAAAAGCCGGCAATAGTGGATACTGCAGTTAGCGTCCCTCGAGAATTCTACAGACACCCCGGCGAGCGAGAGGG